TAAATAACTAACTTACTGACTGGGGTGGGGGAAATCTTCAGCAATGACCTATGTTATAAGAGTCTAATTTCTAAAATAAATAGACAATTTCAGCAACAAAATAAGAAAAAGACAACCCAACCAAAAAATGGGCAAAGGGCAACAGACTTGTCACCAAAGAGGGCTTTCTGATGGCCAATAAACACATGAAAATAAGTCTGTGATCATTAGCCATTCACTTGATCATTACCACTAAACCACACAGAAGGAGACGGCCTAGTCTTCTCCTTTGGAGCCACTGGTGGATTCAAACTGCCAGAAAGGCCTGGTCTCTGAGCAGGCTGCACAATCCCCCCAGACTATGACAACACAGCTCCCTCAATAACCACTGCTGGAGTGTGCTGTCAAGTGGGAACTGACCGGCAACTGACCGTCCAGCAGGCTTTCAAAGGCTGTATATCACATGGGAAAAGACTGGCCATCTTTCTCCCTTGAAGGAGCTGGAAGATTCGAACCACCTGCCTCTGAACTGACAGTGCAGCTCCTCCCCAGTAGGCTACCAGAGCTCCCCAATTAACTACTGTTGTTGCATGTACCATTGGACTCATAGCTGATCCTCCAGTAGGTTTTCAGAGACAGCAAATTCAACAAGAAATTACTCATCTTTCTCTTGCAGAGTCTCTAGTGGATTTGAACCACGTGCTTCTTGGTTGGCAGCATAGCACCTAACCATTAGGCCACCAGAGCTCCAATAAACCACTGTCTATCATCACATCAGGATTGAGCCATAGCGGACCCTCCAGCAGGTTTTCAGAGGCAGTTAATCACACGGAAGGAGACCAGCCATAATTCTCATGTGGAGCAGATGGTGGATTCGAACCATGTACTTTTGTACTGCCAGGACGATTCCTTACGACTAAGCCACTAGCGCTCCCTACTAAGACACCAGAGTTCCCTATAGACCATTAGAAAGATGTAAATCAAAAGCACCATGAGACATCCCACCACTGTAAAATGGCTGAAACTTTAAAAACAATAGCATCAAAACAACCAGAAAATAAGAAATGTCTGTAAAGCTACAGGGAGAAAAAAGTAGTGACACAAACAGGAATAGGCACATCCATGTCCAGTGCAGCGTTATTCACAGCAGCAAAAGATGGGCACCTAAGTGCCAGAGGATGAGTGAATAAGCAAACTGTAGCACGTTCACACTGTGGAATACTTCTCAGCTGCAAAGAAGGCTGAGGAGCCCAGGAACTTTAACACAGATGAGCCTAAAGGACACCAAGCTGAGTAAAACAAGTCAGTCACAAATGAACAAATAATGTACAGTCTCACTAAAAAGTGAGGAATAAATATACATACAGAAATGTTCTTTGACGGTTATTAGGGGTGGAAGGAAGAATCCCTTTCTAGACAGTAGCTACTTGTAACTTTTGGTGATGAGAAAAACTATACAAATAAAGGTAAAGTCCACACAGAATGACCTTAGTAGATGAAGACACTAATGCTGTTTTTGAGACACTAATGCTGTTGAGTATCATCAAGTCAGAACCGACTCACTGCTGACTCTCCAGTGGGTTTTGATAGGTACACACAAAAAAGGGGACAACTCTGGTAAATGCTTAATATATTCATTTTTGCAACAACTGTTAAAACAAAAAAAAATATAGTTGCACATGTCATGGAGTAAGCTAGTCTGCTGGCATAGCACACAGTTCATAAAATTAATGTTTTACACACTAGTTTGTTGAGTAGTGTCTGGAGTCTTAAAAGGCATGATTGGTCTTCTAAGGTACAACTACTGGTTGGGTGAAAGAGAATAAAATAAACCCATGACTCAAGGTAAAAATTAGCCACAGAACTAGCAGCCTACAAAACCATGTCGCTTCTAACTTGAGACCAGAACTACCATATCTTCACACAAAATACACTCACATAAATAATGTACATACATTTTTAATTCACACAGTATGCACAGGAAATTCATTGCTATGGAGCTGCACCTTTTGGTAGAAAAGTATATAATGGGCACATTATTTGATTAAAATATAGTACATAGTGCCCAGCCACCACTATGGATTATTCTGACTATAGACCCAACTGAAGGCTCCTGTTAGAACAGTAAAAAACACAGAACAAAAAAAAATTCATAAAAATGATCAGACATACTGTACTGAAAGACTAGAAGAAGCTTAATACTTAGGAATCCCTTATACATTATGCTTAGGTGCCTTTTTAACTTGAGCCAAAACTACTCCCAGAGGTCACCTTTCAGCCAAATAAATAATAGTTTGGACAATAAAATAATGAAATCCCTTGTGAATAACTTAGAAGCAGGAGTGGCATCCACTTCCTCAACAGCTTGCCTCTGAAAACTCTATAAACTAGTTATAAAAAGGTTTCAGGTCTTTCGTTCATTGGGTCACTATGAGTTGTGCCCAACTCGACGGCAATCAATAAAACAACTGTAAATAACTGGTCCTTTAAACAAATAACTATATGGGACCAAATGGTCAATGTTACTAAAAAACAAACAAATAAACAAAAACAGATGAGAAGGAAGGAGTGGAAGGGAAGTCTATCAAAGGAAACAGACAAAAATGAATGGGAATAAGGAGAATTAGCAAATCATGGAAATTGTAAACACTGTCTCAGAACAATTCACATAAAATTTGTTACTCACCATGTAAACTTCAATTTAAAAACTAACAAATTGAGTTGGGTGAAGTAAAAGGCAATTAACAATAACAATGTGATTAAACATTGTAGTAAGCTAATTATACTAATCAATTGTAATTTATGCTCTAAAAATGTCTATGAATGATTGAATGAAAACCCATCAAGATTTGTAAACTTTAATTTACATAAAAAAGAGACAGGTCTGAAATGAAAAAATAAATAAAAATCATTAAAACAGTAAAAGCTGGGGAAATGTTTTTTAAACATATCTCCTCCTAATGAACACATAGGACAAGCACATTAGGCTGGGCTCGTTGGTCCTGATACTGTATCTCATTAGAAATCTAAATTTATCTTCTAGTTTCCTTTCCTAAAATGCACAAATTTATTGTATTCTCAAAAGAGTTAGATCTAAAGTAATATAACAACTATTCATTAAGAGAGTAGATTATCTCAAAGGTAACAGCTATTGGTATACAGTAGGAACTCAAGAAATGTTTGCTAAATAAACTACTTTGTTCCTGAATCTTGAAAATGCAAAAATTCACTATTTAGTCAAGTCAACAAGAAGAGTGATGACTGGCAGGCCACCTTAGGTCACCAGAGTCTTTCCATGCTAGGATGGGGGGAAGGTTGATGGGTATGGCCTAGCTGAGAAAGGAGAGAAGGAGGTGGTATCTTAAAGCTTGGTGGTCATACTGTCTCAGGACCAGTGGAAGATCATTTCCAGCACAACTGCTCAGAGATGCTAAACTTCCTGATTTTGTTCTGGTTTAATTTTAAGTGATTTCTGAAGGAGCTTGTCACCTCATCATCAGCCTTCACACAGGTCCAGTCCAAATGCGTTTAGGACTGTGTGTTTCCTGGCATGACCGACCTTTAACACCCAGGACTGACCATCACAATGCTGCCCTATGGGCCATGTCTCAGCTCACCCAACAATCTCACCACATCAGGAGAGTCAGTTCACTCTATCTCCAGTCTCTGCAATGAAACCTTCAGTGACAACAGACTCTTTATGGCCTTATTCTACAACCTACATCATTATTACAAGGGACTTTGATGGCCTAGCTCACAGGGCACTGCACTGGTAACCCAAAGGCTGCACCTCTCCCACGGTTCGAATCCATCAGTGGCTCAAAGAAGAAAAGATGGATAATCTCTTCTTCTGCATTTTATAGCCTTGGGAACCTGCTGGGCAGTCAGCTATGAGTCAGTTCTAATCAAGAGCAACCACAGGAGTATCATTATTAAATAATCATAAGAAAGTTTCAAAATATATATATAAGGTGCTTTGAACAAAACACTCAGCAAGGTCTCTTATGAGACCTGGGACATGAACTGCACAGGGGAAAAAAATATCTCCCCAGTCTCTAAGCACAGGAGCTGCCTAAGCCTAGAACAAGGCTCTTCTTTTTATCAGCAGGAAGCTCCATCTCCGATTTAAAAAATAACACAGCGAGGATGCTTTGTATTGCAGCTTTCACAATTACTAAACAGGAAGGTGCCTGCGGCTTGAAAATTCACAGCAGCATTGTTCTTCTGCCTTCAGGAGACAGCCAGTAAGAAGTGCTGAATTATGAACATCTCTCTTAATAAAATTCGGACATTAATTATGCATCAAGCAGCAATCCACAGTCATCCCTCCTAGGGCTAGTCCAATAAGGGCGCTCGGCTTGGCGAAGACAAAGCATGGTGTGGTCACCCTCTGAAGTCCCCTCACCGCGGAGGACTAACTTCTGTGTGTGATCCCTCCAGAAAGTCTTTTCATGAAGGAGTGAAGAGCTAACACTCTCCTAGCTTCCCAGTGCCACTTTTAATTATAAGCGGCAGATGAGTGACATTTATTTACCCCAACGATTCTTGGTGAGCAGGGGACTAAGGGGAAGGAACCAAGGGCTGTTTATTAGTCAGTGTGCTAAAAAAAGCAGCACACACAGTAGGCGCTAATGAATGTGTGTTCCCAGAGTTTAAGAGTAAAATAACCAATAGAAAATCTCACACATGATTAAGTGGGGTGGCGGGGGCTGAGCAGTCGAAGGAGAAGAATGGAAGCAATCCCAGTGTAAGGCAGTGCTCATATTCATTGAGAGTAGAAGATTTACTGCCGAAAGATTCTTGCCATTTGGGTTTTCCCATCCTGCCTGTCATTTTCCTAAAAAGGTAAGGCTTGGTCACCAATCTTCTTGCCAACTGTAGTTAGGAGAAATGTTTTTATGTACCATAAGAACTAAGAGTTTGTACTCATGAGAGAACCGGGATAAGGCTTTTTTTCTCTCCCTCTCACCTCCCTGAAAGTTGACCTTCACCACATTCCATCATACACAGAAGAACCTTACCAGGATCATGTGACCGGTGGAGATGTCCATGTTGGACTGGACTGGCTCCTCTGACCAGGACGAGGTGCTGCTCCGAGCTGAGGGGCTGGGCATTGGCCCATCGCTGAACTGGGAGGAGACACTATTGATGCGAGAGGTGTGCAGGGGCTCCGGGCGCTCCGAGGACCGCACAGCCATGCGCTGCCGGCACAGCTCCTACAAAACAAGGAGAGAGCTGGGTGAACGGTGCTCCTAGGGACAGGAGAGCAAGAAGATGCTGGGTGGATGGTGGTCCTAAGGATAGCAGAGCTAGGTGGATGGTGGTCCTAGGACAGCAGAGTAGACCGGAGGCCAGCAGTGCCTTGGGACTATTGCTCTGCTGTCTTCCTCCCCCATCTGCTCATCCTAAAACCCAAAGTCCACAGAGGGGAGAATTTTCCACCTGTCTTGCCAGTGTGCCATCAGATGGAACCCCCTGATGGAATGTCCTTGGTTAGTGTTTCCTAAATGGCATCCTTTTGCCAGGCACTGTGTTCTCCCAGAAATCCCTGAGTTCAGACGGTTCACAATCTCAGCTTCTAACTGAAAGTGTGGAGGTCTGAGCCCACACAGAGTAACTTCTTTTTTTCTTCTATAATTATATTTTATTAATTTTCATAAACATTTACAGAGATTTTGGGTTTCCATTCATTCATTGTTGCAACAGAGTAACTTCTAGTACAGCCTGGATATTGGCTTCTCCTGAAACCCTGTGCAGCCCTGTTCTCCAGGACACACGTGGGGCCCCAGGAGTTGGGGTCTACTTGAGGCAACTCTTCTGATTTGTTTTGGGTTGTGAAAGGTATTATCATACACGTGTGTGCCATGTGTTTAAGTTATCACATATGCAGCACAGCACTCTGAGGGAGGAGAGGGAAAAGTTACTGCCAGCCTCGTTTTCTAAAAACCCATCAACTAACATGAAGAATACCTGGTTCTAATAACAGATGAATGTACACATGCACACAGTCCCCGGCTCCACAAAAGGAGGAAAGCACTGGGTCCTAGTGTGAAATTAAATGAAAATATTCTTAAAATAACATTTAGAACAGGTTGTTGTTAGCTGACCCTCCAGAGGGCCTTCAGGGACAGTAAATCACGTGGGAGATTGTCCACCTTTCTCCCGTGAGGCATGTGGTGGATTTGAACCATGTGTCTTCAGGACTGCAGCTTCTTACCACTAAATTATCAGAGCTGCCTAGAATCAGTTAGGTACATCCTTTTTCTTTCATTAAAATTTAGATCATAATGGAAAGGAAGGGAGCTTTTCATTTATGGACTGAAATTGGTTACATAAACATAAAAGTGTGGTCAGAAATAAAAAACTCCACAAACCAAATATCTTCCCTTTCCAAAACAAGACCCAAACTGGTAAGCATCCATGCAGGAAGGATTGCACACAACCACACACCTTCCTGCTGCTGGGAGCTGCCGTCCAGCTGCTGCGGCTCCTGGTAATTCCATGCCCAACAGAACACACTTCTGGCCCTGTCCATCCTGTGATCACTCATGGAACCCTGGCAACCCCACAAGGCTTTCCCAGCTCCATTTCAGCATCAAAGCAACATGCCAACCTCTCCTGACAGAAGGGCAAGAACTGTATATAAGGTGCACTTGCTGGGAATCAAACCCAGTACTCCTATACAGAAAGAAGGCATTTTATCATTGAATCCCTATTGCCTGTAAACCACATATGTAAAAGAAAATGTATAGTAATAATAGTCTGCCATTTGAAAAGGAAATAATTAAAAAGAGTTTACACATTTTTTAAAAAATATGTCAGTTTAAGAAAGTGGTGAGTCTTTGAACTTCTCTATACAAAAACTAACAAACTTACTACTATCAAGTCAGAACTGACTCACAGCTGACCCCCCACTGGGTTTCTGAGGCTATAAATCCCACAGGCGGAGAGTCTACTCTTCTCTCATAGGCATGCTGGTGAGTTTGAACTGCCAGAGGGGCTCGGCCTTAAGTTAGCAGCCTAAACCCCTTTGGACTATGCTACCAGAGCTCCTTATACGAGGTGATATATAAATAAACTATGAAATGGGCATGTTCAACACATGCCAACTGTCCAGGAAAAGTCATGAACAGTGTGGGAGCCTGGGAAAGACAGAAAGCTCAGTGTTGAGATTCTCAAACTCAATCAGCATAGCTGCACATCAGCAACCAGCTGTCACCTTCCAGCTTGAGCCTGGGGTCTCACCACCTCTGGTTAATAAAATAGTGTTCTAGAAATATTATAGCAGGCATGACATCACAAATTCCTCTCTTTGTCCAGGAATCTGAGCCATCAGGATAAAACAACATTGAGAAAATGTTTAGAAGAAAACTGAAGTCAAACAAAAGATTTTAAAATGTGTATCTAAAAAAGGTGAGGATTTCCAGAGCTCCTGCAGGATACCTTTCTTTCTGCTGTGGTGGCTCCTGGAACCTGGGAAGCGGGGTCACACCATCCACATGTACCCCACCAGTAGTATGTATCAAAGGCTCTCACAGCACCCCAAGGCAATAGCTAGAGATCACCAAACACTTCTATGTTTCTATTCTCCTCTTCACCCTGGGCTGCCACTTTCATTGGCATTAAAGATCTTCGTCAAGCCAGCTGCCACCATACAGACAATCCCTCCTCCCCGCCCGGCTCTCCGTGGGAGATGCGGCACGTGCTCCCAAGCGCTCTTTGCCAGCGATTGCTAATAAGCCCCGCTCCACACACAGGCTCTTTGAGAGGGGAGCCCCTTCTGGAGCATAAACCCTCAGCCCTGAGAGTGCAACTGGTGACAGGGAAGATTATTATGGGCACGCGGGTGGAGACGGGCAAAACAGGGGAAAGGTGAACTTGAAAAGTGACCCCTACTGTGGGGGAGAAAGAACTACTCCCCAGCCAAAGGGGAGAATACAGAACAGGGTAAAATATGGCTCGGTAGCTGCCTCCTCCTTTGCCATGCACTTTCCACCGCTCATTAGTTTGCAAATGACAATTTTCTTTCTCAAATGAAAACATGTTTCTTCCTAGAATAAAAAAAATTACAACAAATGAACAAAAAAGAAAATCATAAACAATGGATTATATTAAGGTAGAACTAGAAGACACTAGAAATCAACCCAAGTACCCACTTCATTGATTCCTCATTTAGGCACATGAGTATCACTCAACTCTGTAAGCACCACACAACACACACGTACACGTCCCTGCGGTAACGTCTGTGACTTACACTGACCTAGGAGGAAAACTCAAGCAAAGCATAAAAACAACTACATGCTAACCTCAGAACATGCCCTCCAAGGGTAAGATTCTCTGGGGACAAAGATTTTAAATGCCTGTGATTTAACTACTTAAAAAGAATTGAGTCAGTCATGTGTCTGTCCTATGAAAATGGTGTGGATGACAGGTCTGTCTTCTCTTGGTCCCCACACTGAGCCTCACATGCCAATCCTGGACCCCAGTCCCTCCAGCCCTGAACTTGGGGGACTTTCACCATAAAATTTTCACACAGACATATCATAGGTCTCCAAGTTCAACATTTTCATTTTTAAAATGGAAGAGTGTCATTGTAAAGAGGTCAAATAAGTAAAACCTCTGCCCTTAAACTACTGATTATTAATCAGTAATATGGGAGTAGAAGCAAGTGAAATAAAAAATGCAACACTTCTCTAAAGTACTACCAAACTGTGGAAGGTGTAGCACATGCAAAAATGTTGTTAAAGAAGACACACAGAATGGCAGGGTTGGACCAGCCAAGCAATCAGCTGCTCACGGCTGACGTATGAGTTGGTGTCAGCTCATCCTTCCAGGTCTTCAGGGTTTTTTTTAAAAGGAGAAAATGAGGGATACAAATCCAAGAAAAATCAGTTCCAGTTTCCCACCTTCAACTCAATGAGTATATATCACTGGAAGCCTTGATTAGAGACGGGAGGCCACCAAAGATGTATCAGAGGGACGTGGGCTTGGCAGTAGGAAAGACCAGATCCGTCTGGTGAAAGCTCTTCACCCACACAGGGCAGGGAAAACTACGCCAGGGGCATGTGTCAGGAGCAAAGAGACTCATGACCCAGCCATGGGCCATCTCTGTGATCTAAGCACTCTGTCACTGCCTGCTTTTACATACAAATAAAAGCAGGTGCCCTCTGACTGCAGTGGGATACTCTGCATGGGATTGACTGTTACATTTTTACAGGAAAACAACTAAGACAACTAGTATCTGAAAGGCAAGGAAGCCAGATGTGTCCAAGGGAGGGGATTCGGTTGAAAATTGGGTGTGGGGCCCTAGACTGATGGGCCCTGCTTTAACTTTTGCATATTCAAACTGCCATTCATATGAGGAGCAAGTAAGGAGTAGAGTAAGTTCACACTTCGTCACATTTTGGACACTAATCTTGATCTATGCTCACGGACTCTCAGGAAAGCACACACACTCACTCCCTCATTGCCGTCAAGTCAGAACGACTCCCTGTTGGCCCTCCAATAGGTTTTCAGAAGCTGCAAGAGAGGAGACTGCCCATCTTTCTCCCTTTAAGCAGCTGGTGGGTTTGAACCATCTACCTTTGGGCTGGCAGCATAACCTGTACCTTAGGTCAGCTACATGTTCTTGTGCCTCCCTTGAGTTCTAAGTCCACACTCTGGACTTTAGGGAGGCTAAGAGGGAGACCTCTCACTCAATAAGATGGACTTAGACGTTGTCTGTGGCAATGGGCTCTACTGTGTCAAGGATGACAGGTGGAGCAAGATAGAGCAGGGCTCAGATCTATTGTTCAAAAGGTCACTATGCATTATACTCAACACTTACTACCACCGTTGTGGGTGGAGGGAGCCCTGGTGGCTACAGTGAGTGGTGCTAGCACACAAAGGCCAAGCATCCCGCAACTCCAGTCCACCAGCAGCTCTGCAAGAGCAAGATGTACTTTCTTTCCAGTTTTCATTTACACTGTTTTCATTCATTCCTTGTTGCACATCATCCTCCCTCCTCTTTCCTCCCTCCCTCCCCCAGTGCACTTTGCAATGCACCTCTTGTTCCAGACTGTTGTCATACATTTAATACCTAAGCATTTCAGAAAGCTTTCCCCCTCATCTGTTTCAATGCTGTGTTCAGCATCTATCCTACAGCCTCAGAAACAAAACTGGATGGAGGGTCACTAGGAGCTGGAATCAACTCTTAGGCAGTTGAGTTTGAGAGTTT